GCCGCCTAAGTTCAGCGCTACTCTTATTCTTCAACATCTTCTACTATTCTTCTTTTGGTTTTATTAGCCATTTTTATCTTCTGCTTTTTACTTCTTCTTGATCATTTTTGTCCTATCCAAACATTTTTTCTTTCTAATTTTTGTTTGTCTTTTTCGCATCTTTACTTTCTTCTTTTTTATTTTCTTTTTCATCGTCGGATTTTCATCTTCTTATACTTTATTTTCTTCATCTACCATTTTTGTTCTTCTTTTTCTTTCAGTTTTCTTCTTCAACTTTGAGTTCTTCATCTCCTTATCATTTTTCTTCTTCACTATTTTGTGTTACCCATCTTGATCTTATCGTTCATGGTCTAGAACTTTTTGTTCATTTTTTCCTCATTTTTTTACGTTTTCGTTAACTCTATGTTCTTCTATATGTTTCAATTTATCTTTTTTCTCTTCTTTTTCTACTTCGTTTTTCCCTTTTTTCCTTTTTCTGTTTTCTTTTTTGATTTTTTCCTCTGCGCCCTGCTAGTGTATTTGGCCTCTCTTACATTATTCCAAAAATAAACAGAATTCAGAAAGCCATACTTAAAACAAACAAAAAAAAAGACTTAAAACCTGTTCATTAGACAATGAAGATGATTTATGATATGTTGACATGGTTTTAATCACGTTAAGTAAGGAAGAATAACTGACAACACAAAACAACAACATATAACCGAGGAACACTACTACTGGTACTGAAAAACGGAAAAAACAATAGAAAAAATCGAAAATTGATTTATAAAAAATAAAGATGGTAAACAATACAACGAAAAGCCGACCAATGTAGAAACCAAACCACAATTGAGCTTAAGATACATTTAAAAAGTAATATATATAGCTCTCAACTTAAACTAAGATTTCCCACATCACATGTATATTTTTTTCCAGATAACCTTGCTCAACAGATAATCTGATTGAAATTATCTTAATATTATCAAAATAACTAAAAGTGGCAGCAAAATTGTTATACAAACTACAAAAATAAATTAATTAATTAAGGATATTTAAAAAAAATTATTATCGAATAAAGGGGAATTAGTTACCTAGATTGAATGAGAGACCTTATAGCGAAAAATTTACTTCGCATATATTATATATGATATGATTTTAAATGTTTTTTTGATTAAATTCCAATTTTTAAATTTTCGTTATTTTCTATTTTAAATATTTTTTGAATAAATTTCGATTTTTAATATTTTTTATTAAATTTAAATATTTTTTGATTAAATTTCGATTTTTAACAATTTTTTTATTAATTTACGATTTTTAATATTTTATTTAATTTACGATTTTTAATAATTTTTTAATTACTTCGCATATATTATATATGATATGATTTTAAATGTTTTTTTTTGGATTAAATTCCAATTTTTAAATTTTCGTTATTTTCTATTTTAAATATTTTTTGAATAAATTTCGATTTTTAATATTTTTATTAAATTTAAATGTTTTTTGATTAAATTTCGATTTTTAACAATTTTTAATTAATTTACGATTTTTAATATTTTATTTAATTTATGATTTTTAATATTTTTTAATTAATTTATGATTTTTAATAATTTTTTTATTAAATTTAATTTTAAAAAATATAAGGAGGGTTAAAAGGTAATTAGTCGTCCTAAAAATAAATAAGAGAGCTTTAACTCAAAATTTTACTTTGCTTAAAATATATATGATTAACTACAAAGTATAAATCACAAAATACGTAAAATAATACTATTGTTGGTTACAGAGTTACAGTAAATTACAAATTTGCGGTAAAGGCTGTGTTAAATGATATGTTAGGCCACTTGATTGAATTTTATGGCCCAGTGGTATTTTAAAGTCACTCGGCCTTCTTTCCGAAACTTTGACCTTTTGTCACTCACTGCCTCCTCGTCTTCTTCAAAGTTGAATCTTTCCTTAGTTCTCGTTATCCCGAAATCAACATCTTCACCAGGAAGCCTCAACTGAGACTCGCGACGATGCCAGCGGAAAAAAACGGCGGGAAAACGCTAAAGTAGATAACTTGGGGTCTTTTGACTTAGCCATGCGTGTAATGGCGTCAATCATTCATCTGCTCTCTCCAGATTATTGTTCAGAGATTCCAAAACAACAAGCTCTCCAGATTTATGGGTAAAGAAGGAGCTCGAAATTATCATGTGGTGGTTGTTAAATCAATTTACCAGAGGAAGCTTTTTATTTCCTATTTTTCTTAGAAGAAAAAAGACGTGAGAGTTTCGGTAATGAAGTCGATAATTCAAAGATGGAGACATTGAGGAGGAGACAAGTGAATTACGGTACGCCTTTTGTGTATTTCCTACTATTAAAAGATTCGATCATTGTCCTTATCAGAAAACCAAATGGCTAACGACTACATTTCCTCTCTTCAGAAGCTGCTGCTTCTTCTACTAATATTGTGCCTCAATGCTGCTGATTCTGCCTCTACCGTCAAGTATCTTCCCGGCTTTGAAGGCCCTCTTCCTTTTGAGCTCGAAACTGGGTTTGTTTTTCTCTTCCTCTGATTGATTAGAATCCGTTGTTCTGAGTTTGGAGATGATCTTTAAAGTATGTATGATGATTCCTTGTGAATAAAAGGTATATTGGTGTTGGTGAGGAAGAGGAAGTGCAATTGTTCTACTACTTCATCAAGTCTGAGAGGAATCCAGAAGAAGACCCTCTTCTTATCTGGTTAAGTGGAGGACCTGGCTGCTCTTCTCTCTCTGGTCTTCTTTATGAGAATGGTACAAATCTTAAACATTTCTTCTTTGAGCTCATTCTTCTGTTGTGCCTCTACTTCATTTTGTTCTGTGAGTTGTCTGAATCAAAAAAAAAAAAACAGGGCCTGTGACTCTGAAATCTGAGGTTTACAATGGAACTCGTCCTTCTTTGGTCTCTACTACGTATTCATGGACTAAGGTAGCACAAAGTGATGTGTTGTATTCATATGATGGTCCCAAACCGGATGATGAATTATGCTTTTTGCTCTTTTAACCTCTGTATTTTTTTCTATCTCAGACTACGAGTATAATATATTTGGATCAGCCTGTTGGAACTGGCTTTTCCTACTCAAGAACTCAACTTGCTGAGAAACCCAGTGATTCAGGAGAAGCCAAGCGGATCCACGAGTTTCTTCACAAGGTGAAAAAGACTAACTTGATTGTCTCTTGAAGCATCTCCTCTTTGTGCATAGACAATTATGAGCCTTTTTTATTTTTTATTTTGGCTCGGTGCAGTGGCTAAACAAGCATCAAGAGTTTTTCTCCAATCCTTTCTATGTCGGTGGAGATTCTTATTCCGGTATGGTTGTTCCGGCACTTGTTCAAGAAATCTCACAAGGCATGGTTCTTTTTTTCATATCAATCTCCAAGCCCTTTTCTTTGAGTCTGGTTTCTTAGTCAAATATTTCTGTTCATAACACTGTTAAACACAATGATGCAGGAAACTATTTATGCTGCGAACCTCCAATAAACCTTCAGGTTCATTGATATTTCTTGCTTCTTACATATATATATATACCTTGTCGAGCAGTCAAAATAGATAGCTATAATTCTTCTTCGCTGTACTGACCAAAAAAAAAAAACAGGGGTATGTACTCGGAAACCCGTTAACAGAAGTTGAAATCGATTATAACCATCGCATTCCTTATGCTCATGGAATGGCACTGATTTCAGATGAACTTTACGAGGTATGAAATACGAAAATACAGTACTACGTTTGTTTCTTGTCCCCACAATGAACGTAAGATTACAACAAGCAGTTCAATTTGCGGTTGCAGTCGATGAAGAGAATCTGCAAAGGAGAATATGTAACTGTTGATCCAAGTAACACGGAATGCTTGAAACTCGTTGAAGAATATCAGAAGGTACTCACACTCTCATGGAAATTTTTAGCTCATGCTCTGTCTACCTAGTAAAAACATTATCACTGATTCAGACTTTTGTGGTTATTATATAGTGCACTAATAGAATAAACAACCAACTTATCTTGACGCCATTGTGTGAAGAATCTGAAGATACATCTCCCGATTGCTATGTAAGTAATCCATCTTGTCCTCTCTGTTTTTGAGAAAACAAAAATATAGATATCTTACGAGGTTGCATTTTGCAGACTTATCGGTACGTGTTAACTACCTACTGGGCCAATGATGAGAGTGTACGCAGGGCTCTTCAAATAAATGAGGTATTATATAGTTATATGACAAATATTTAAAATTTACGACCTTTGGTAACGAGGATGTATGATTGCAGGGGAGTATAAGGGAATGGGTACGTTGTTATTGGGAAATACCTTACACTAGAGACATTAAAAGCAGCTTACCATACCATATGAATAACAGCATCAAAGGCTATCCTTCTCTCATCTTTAGGTTAGATTTTAGCCTCTGCCTTTTAAAGTAGTACAAGATTCAAGACTAGTTCTGTTCTTGTAAGTTTTGTGAGTTTTTTTTTTTTTTTTTTTTTTGGGTGAACAGTGGTGATCACGACCTGACTATTCCTTTCCTTGGAACTCAAGCTTGGATTAGATCTCTTAACTATTCTCTCACTGATGACTGGAGACCGTGGATGATAGGCGATCAAATCGCTGGGTATGACTGGTTTTTGATCCTGATGGGTTTCCTTGTTAATTTCGTTCTGTTGTCGTATGAGTTCATTAGACTCGCTCTGTTTTGGCAGATACACGAGGACTTATGCCAATAAGATGACATTTGCTACTGTCAAAGCAAGTCTCTTTTCTTTATTTGTTTTCCACTCAAAACATTTCGATAGCGGTTTTCACTAATATTGAATTGTGGGTTTGATTATATAGGGAGGAGGACACACTCCAGAGTATAAACCAGAGGAGAGTTATATCATGTTCCAAAGGTGGATCAATGGCCAACCTCTTTAACAAAGAAAAATATCAATTCTATCAAAGCGTGTATATATATATATATATTATTAGTGAAACCTTCGACTTTTTAAGTGAAACTTATAAAAATTTGTCAGTCTAGATTGGTTTCTCAAATTGTGTTTATATGCATTTCAAAATGAATGAATAAAAGACCAGATGAGCAAGATTTGAGACGAATTTATATTGCTATTAGTTAATTTACTTCTTATTTCGAATAAAAGTTCCAAATGTTGTAAAAAAAAAAATTTCTTTGGTTTGTTTGAAAAAGTTATTGATTGATGTTACAAGAATCGTAACTACTCAACAGAAACTTTCTCATAGTTGCCCACTTGAATTTAGAATAGTATAATTCCGAGTTTTGGTTTGTAAGTAGAACCGGTTGGTTTAATCTTATTGGCCAGCCTAGTTTTTTGGCACATAATCCTCTTTGTGGCAAGAATTTTTGTTGGTTCACGTTTGACGTTTGTGTTCCAATTTTTATGCATGGCCTTAAAACTTTCTATTTTTTTGTAGATAAACAAGAAGTATTCATCACCAAAAGAAAGTATAAATAAACATACAAACACGTGAATGTTGTTAGATTCATATTACTAATTCATTTCCAAAAGGGAAATTTAAAGTTGAAAATAAAAGAAGAAGAATGAATCATCAAATAACGGGGTTTCTGATAATTGTTGTTGTTGTTGTTGTGAATTTTGGGGAAAATGAAGCATGCGCAGAAAACGCATTAGTAATCGCAAACCGCCTTCCAAATAATCGCGTTCTAAACGTTGAATGCACATCAAACAAGAAGGATAAGCGAAGGGGCTCAGTGAAATACAAAGGTATTCCGTTTCGTATTAACATCAAGGAAGCTGTGGTCGGTGGGAGGACAACTTGGCATTGCTTATTGCAGCAAACGAATTTTTCCAAATATTTTAGAGCATACAGAGGAGCCTCTGTCCCTCGATGTGGTGAGGTACGATTATATTATGCCAAAGATTATGGAATTTACTTATCCAAAAATGGTGATCCAGAGATACTCGACCAGAGTTGGACCAGAAAAAAAATAATTTTCATTTACAGTATTGCTTTTTCCTTTAATTTTCCTATTTTCAAATAAGTGTGTTTAATACTTTCTCTGTTCAGAATTATTTGATCTTTTAGGAATTTTTTTTGTTTAGAATTATTTGATGTTCTCACTTTTCAATGTAAAATTTAATAAACTTTTTATTTTTGATCTTTTATATTTTGCAGATTATCTTTTTATTGGCTGAATGATATTTAAATAAATTATAAATAATATTTTTAATGTAAAAAAAATAAAAATTAAATGTATCATTAATCTGTGTGCAAAAACCTTAAACATCAAATAATTCTAAATAGATGGAATATCATCGACAACATTTCAGTGAGTTTTCCTATTTTTTTTATTTTTTTATTTTGTGTCGCTAATGAGCTAAGTTACCTTCCAATTTTAGTGTCACAATATACTAAAAATGTAAATAGAATTATGAATTCAATGAATATCTATGTATGAATTTAAACTCTTTTTAAGAGCTGAATCAACGAAGGAATCCTCTACAGGAAGGGTTACTGGTCATAATCATCTCATCATCTGGTCTACACAAGTTGTCATTAATACATGCAGAGCCGTATCAAAACTATTTATAGGTCATGTTCAAATTATATATACATAACAGCAGGTTTAAACTATCTTGCACTTTCTATTTGTTCCAACAATGGATTCCCGAATTTAAACAGTGGATAACTGCTGCATGTTTTGATGTTTTTAAAAGATACACTACAAGAAAGAGGGACTTTTCCGTCGAATTATTTACGACGATTTGTAGTCGTCGTAAATTAACGACGACATTACGTCGTATTTACGACGATCAAAAATTTCGTCGTAAATTCGACGTAAAAAATAACCCTTGTAAAATCGTCGTAATGTTACGACGATTTTACGACGAATAAAGAACGAATTTTATTTCGTCGTAATCTTGTCGTAATATTTACATCGATAATACGACGAATTGTCCTCTATCTTGTAGTTGACATAAAATCGATGTAAATGTGATGTAAATTTTATTTCGACGTAAATTTGATGTAAATATGCAATGGTAATATGTTGGTAACCAAACAAAATATTCTATATATACCCTTTCTTCTCTCATTATTCCATCATCCCAAAAAAACATATAAAGACACAAATTTTTTTAGTCTTTGAATGTTTAAGTAAAATTTTTAGTAGTTGAAATTTCTATCAAATTTCAGAAACAAAAAGTCAAATATTTGTTTTTGAAATGTCTATATACGATCTACGAAAGTGGATGTATACGCCCAAAAATGGTGATGGGTCGTTGACTGAAGACTTCAAAAACGGATTGGAAATATTCATGTACCAAGCCGGCCTTCTGGAAACTGTAATTGAAAGCGGCAAAATGTATTGTCCTTGTGTGAAATGCAAAAATAGGAAACATATTCTTATTGACACTGTCTGGCAGCATTTATTGAATAGAAGGTTCATGCCCCAATACTTTATTTGGTATCAGCATGGAGAGGGATATGGTCAAAGTAGTGGTCAGATGGCTGCACGGAGTAGTAGTAATCATCAAGAACATGTGGATTTTGAAGCGTCCAATGATTATCAAAGTAGTCAAGTTCAGGGTGAAGATCATGATAGGATGCATGAAATGATTACTGATGCATTTCATGAAACACATGCTGATACTGTTGAGGAGCCCAATGCAGATGCGAAACGCTTTTATGATATGTTAAACGCAGCAAAACAGCCTCTGTACGAGGGATGTAGGGAAGGTTTATCAAAATTATCATTGGCAGCTCGGATGATGACAATAAAAACAGATCACAATCTATCTGAAGTTTGCATGAACGATTGGGCAGATCTTATTAAAGAATATTTGCCAGATGATAATTTGGCTGTCGAAACGTATTATGAAATTCAGAAGCTGGTTTTTAGTCTTGGATTGCCTTCTGAGATGATTGATGTTTGTGTTGATAATTGTATGCTTTTTTGAAGAGATGATGAGAAGCTTGAAGAATGTCGTTTCTGCCAAAAGCCAAGATATAGACCGCAAATTGCTGGGCGTAAGAAGATTCCTTACCAACGAATGTGGTATCTTCCTATCACTGATAGGTTAAAAAGACTATATCAATCCGAACGGACAGCTGCGTCGATGAGATGGCATGCGGAACATTCACAAACAGATGGCAAAATGACTCACCCGTCTGACGGGAAATCTTGGAAACATTTTAACACCGTACATCCAGACTTTGCTAGGTCTAAGCGAAATGTTTATCTTGGTCTTTGCACTGACGGGTTTAGTCCATTTGGTATGTCTGGTAGGCAATATTTATTATGGCCTGTGATTCTTACGCCATATAACCTTCCTCCAGATATGTGCATGGAAAGAGAGTTTTTGTTTCTAAGTATATTAGTCCCTGGTCCAAATCACCCGAAGCGGGCCCTTGATGTTTTTTTGCAACCACTCATACATGAGTTAAACCAGTTGTGGCATGTTGGAGTACGAACATATGACTGTTCGAGTGGTAAAAATTTTACGATGCGAGCGGTGCTTATGTGGACAATAAGCGATTTCCCGGCATACGGAATGCTATCAGGTTGGACAACGCATGGGAGGTTATCATGTCCTTATTGTCTTCATAGGACTGATGCATTTCAGCTTAAACATGGTAGCAAACGGGCTCCAAGACGTTACGACGATGGGGGTGTAGGACAAAGTTACGCAATAGAAGGTGTGCCTGATATATTCTCACCAATTGGACGTCTAAGTGGGAAACTAAAAGAAACTTGTTGGTCAAACGAACAAGACTACCACAGCACACATACATATATACTTCTAAATTGCGAGGAATTGGCACCTTATGAGAGGTACATAATTATAACCATGTATGATTAAAATTTGATTGAACATACGAAATGTCCTTAACAATGTTTTAAAATTTCAGCACTTTCGTCAGTCAAGTCCGAGAATGCATTGTCGGTGTTTCAGAAGATGAAATTAACAAGCGAAAAGACCAACATTATGCATTGTGGTTAAAAGGTCAAGTCGAGCATGATGACATGACATATGCAGTATGGTTTCATGAGTTGCTCCTAGGTCCTATTTCGAAGATAACTACTGCAGCTATGTATTTCACACGTGGCTATGTTTTTCATACTTATAGTCATGGCACTCAACGGGCAACTACAAACTATGGAGTTTGTGTACGAGGTGAAGTAGACTTTTATGGGATCATCAAAGAGATAATTGAAGTGGAATACCCCGGATTAGTCAGAATGAAAACTGTATTATTCAAATGTGATTGGTTTGATCCTACGGTAGGTCGTGGAGTGCGAATTAACAAATTTGGAGTGGTAGATGTAAACGCATCTCGGCGATACAATAAGTTCGAGCCATTTATACTTGCATCTCAAGCAGAACAAGTCACCTTTGTTCCATATCCTCGATTTCGGAATACGAGAATTTCATGGCTGGCGGTTGTCAAAGTTGCTCCAAGGGGTATAATTGATGGTGTAGATCTCCCGCCAATGCAACAAGATGATTGTGTCGACATTACAGAACCGGATGTTGAAGAAAATGTTCTTTTAATTGATCCACGTAATCGACAAGTTGAAGATCTACATGGGGACGAAACTGAAGAAGGTGCTAACGAATTTCAAACAAGGAGTGATGATGATGACAATGATGATGAGGACACCGAGGAAAATGTTGATGATGACTAATTAAATATTTTGACATTTAATTGCATGCTTTGAATGTTTCAATGTAACATTTGTCAAATTTAAATTTTTGAAAAATTAAAGCCAATTAATGAAGACTAATTAAATGTTGATGAAAATTTGTTTAAGTGTTGACTTGGACATATGTTGATTATTACGACGAATTTACGACGATTATTTAGAAATGTCGTAAATTCGTCGTAATATGCAAACCCTAAACCCTATAGGGTTTAGCTTTCCCAACTTACAGAATGGTTTTTGGGTTCATTTTCCTAAGTAAACTGATGTATTATATAAGAGTATGTAGTATAAGGTTCAGGAACTTGTAGAAATGTGGTTTTTATTACGACGAATTTACGACGAATGGGAGTGATCGTCGTAAATTCGTCGTAATATACCATCGAAAATACGACGAAATGTAACCCCTAAATCTTATAATCAATCTTTTATGGGGTTCAGGGGGGATTTTGATGAGGAGAATGAAATGGCTTACCATCTCATAAGGTAAAACAACTTTCTAAACAAAAAAAAAAAAAATCAAAATTTGACATATATGTGTTTATCAAGTAATCTTAAGGTGTTATATACATTTACACAAGATGTATGGATTTATCTTACATCTTATTAAATTCTTCATTAAGTTATGTAAACATGCTAGAAAGTTATACAGACCACATTTATCATGAATAGACATGCTTGTATGTGCTTATGGATGTTTCAATTTTTGAATTTCATCAGTTTTGGTATAATTCGTCGTAAATTCGTCGTAATGTTACGACGAATTTACGACGATTTGTGGATACACAGCCGTCTTAATTTTTATGATTTATACGATTCGTCGTAAAATCGTCGTAACATTACGACGATTTTACGATGAATAGCACGGATCATCGTAAACTCGTCGCAAAGCCCAGATACAGCCACGTGTGTTTGTCTTACTCGCTTTGTTGTACAGTGGGACCTTTGCGACGAATTTACGACGAATTCGTCGTAAATTCGTCGTAATGTTTACGTCGAATTTACGACGAATATAAATTCTATATATAGGACCTCACCCCTTCCTCATTTCGTCGCTCATCTCTCCTTCCTCTCTCTCTGCTTCCTCCTTCCCACCTCCTCCTTTTGACGCAAAAAAAAAAAGGTAAATAATTTTTTTTAATTACTTAAAATTATAATAATTTTAAATAGTTTAGAAATTCAAGTGGTTTAGGTCGGGAATTAGTTTAGGCTCGGAATTTGTTAGATTTAGGATCGGAATTTGTTAGATTTAGGATCGTAATTAAAAATTAATTGTAATTAATTTGAAAAATAATTTTTTTTCGGTTTTGCAGACGATGACTTGACGGAGGACGCATTACATCAATTTCATGGCGGACGGACATTCTTCCCGGGCGTCTGCCTCGGGAAACACCGGGACCGATGTCCCTTCATCTTCCGGAGCCTCCGAGGTTCCGAATACCGCGGAGCCGTCTCCACCACCGCCTCCACCACCACCTCCACCGCCGGCTGTCGAACCGGTACCCGCCCCGGCTGCCGAACCGTTACCCGCCCCTCCTCATCCGTATGTCCAGTTTACGGTTGAGGATTTACTAGCCTTACCGGGACGGGGGGCTTTACGACGCCTGGTTCCCGGAAAAGCGGAACCAGGCTCTTATTGGTAAGTAAACTTTTTTGTTTTTTATAGTTTTTAAATTAACGCTTTAATTTACTTAAATACTAATGTAATAATTTTTTTTTGGTTTCATAGGTTTACTTTGGATAATTGTGTCGGGCGGAGCGTTTTCGACACAATTAAGAGTCATTTCGTGGAGCCGCACGTCAATTGGAGCAAGGTGTCGCAAGAGACGTGCGACACCTGGTACAAGTGCTTCGCGGTAATATTTTTAAAATCTTATTTATATTATTTTAAATTGTTTTAAATTTAATTAATCTTATTTTTATATTGTTTATCTAATTTTTTGTTTTCTTTTGCAGCAACGGTGGAACTGGGACATCGGGATCAACTAGACGGTCCGCGAAGCTTTCGAGGAAAATGCGAAGAAACGCCTAGTCAACACCGTTTCTGATTGGAAGCGGAAATGGGAGACCGACGGCGACGACGCAAAGCCGAGCTCCATGTCCACTTGGTGTTGGATCGGGTTGAAGGCGTATTGGGTGGACCCGCATGCCCAAACCACCGCTGCTAAGTGTTCGGCCATCCGAAACCGGGTCGATCCGGTGACTGGTGAGAAGTTAGTGACCCCGCACACTTCTGGCCAAATATCTTTTGCGGGAAGACGTCTCATGATGGTAAGTAATTAAATATAAATGATTTCATTATTATTTTAATTTTATTTATTGCTAGAATTAATTAAATATTTTTGACTAATAATGTTTATTAATTGGTAGGCCGAGGAGAACGGACGAGAACTACCTCCAATGACGAAGCTCTTCGAGACCACTCACCGGAAGAAGGACGGAAGCTTTGTCGACGCTCGGTCCGAGGAGATCTACAATGCCGCTATGCAGCGGATCGCCGAGCGGGAGACCCAGGCCACACCTGACGGTACTATCCAAGTACCGTTGACCGTCGCTGAGCAAGACTAGATTTTCGAAGAGGTATGATATCTATTTCAATTTTTTTAAAATTTATTATATTTATAATTACTTAATAAATAATTAACGTTTTTATTTTCCATTTATAGGTTGCTCCGAAGAAGAAGGGCCGAACTTTAGGGATGGGCTCTATTAGAGACTGTCCTGCCGCTACGGCTTCCGGATTCCGCACGCAGGATCCGCAGCTTCGCCAGGAGCTTGCTACGGCCAATGCTGAGATCACCAGTCTCAGGCATGAGCAAGTGGCCCAGAAGCAGGAGCTCACCGAGATACATGATCTCTTCGACATCATTGCGGAAGCGGTTCCGCAGTTGGCCACCGCAATCCGAGCGAGGCAACAGCGAGCACGGAGGGTTTTTGAGACCGGTGGTAATTCCGGTACTGGACCATCGGACCACCAGACGCAGGGCGGTCAGTCTTCGGCTCCGGTCTCAGCAGCGACGGGCGGTCAGACTTCGGCTCCGGTAGTGCAGACGGGAAACGTCGACCTAGCAGCGACGGGCGGCCAAGACGGAGAGCCTCCTCGTGACGTCGATCTCAACCTCGACGATTACGACATCATTGTATAGATTAGGTTTTTTTGTAAAAAACAATTTGTATTAATTTTTTTTTTATTTATAAATTATTTTTGAATTTAAATTTCAATTTAAATTCAAATTTTTCTATTTTTAATTTTTTGATTATTTTAAAAATTCATTAATTAAATTAAAATCGAATTAAATAATTAATTTATAAATCGACGTAAATTCGTCGTAAATTTACGTCGATTTAACGTCGAATATTTAACGACGAATTTACGACGAATAAGTTTACGTCGGCTTTACGTCGAAACTTTACGACGATTTAACATCGACAATTAAAAATTTAGTTTCCCTTAATTGAAATTGTTCGTCTCCTAATCGTTGTTAAATCGATGTAATTTTACATCGATTTTACGTCGTTTTTATGATGGAGTTCTTTCGTTGTACATCCGTTGGAAATTTTACGACGCATTTACGACGAATAGTTCCCGACGATTTTACGACGATTTTCCGGAGTTGGTAATTTTACGACAATTTTACGACGATTTCGGTTTTACGACGATCGTTTTACGACGATTTTTAATTCATCGTTAATTCGACGTAAATGCTATTGTACGTCGATTTTACGTCGATATCTGTCGACGTAAAAGCCGATCTTTCTTGTAGTGATATTGTCTCTCTTTCTCAGTTTCCCAAAAGATAAGTTGATGCGATCAGATATTTTGTGTTAGACTAACTCAATATTATTACTTCAATTTTAACGTAAGAGCTATGTCCATTTTCTCCTGCTGCAGATTTTGTTATCATCGACTTCAGAGTTTTTACATGAAATTCCCGCTTTTCCACTCTCTCGTTCTACAATATACTGAGAAACTCGTTAACAAAAAAAAAAAAATTATAATGGCGACAAGTCGACAACTATATCAATAAGAACAATTTTGATTGATATAATTTGCTTTCCTTTTAACGTCCATTCTACATATCTCTAGTTTCCTGCATTTTCATATCTTTATAAGAAATATCGATTTTTCATTTAACTGTAACATAAACAAAATAACAAATGATTTTTTATTTACATTTTTAATTATAATTTTATCAGAACCAGACCCCAGTCTAAGATGTTGACAAACCAAAAAACTGAAACTTGTCATGCATAAAAACCGTGTTTTCTTAGTTATATGGATTGTTGTGATTCGGACCTAACCCTGAGCTTTATCGACCCGAATGATCACATGATATCTCTCTCTCAACAGGTCTTGAAAAAGAGTTTGGCCTGTTACGATAATGAGGAAAGAAAAAAGAAAAAAAGGGCTATGCTGTTACATTATTATACCCGATCTTGTTATTTGGAACAGCAAATACCCTATTTTCACATAAAACTAAACAAAAAATATACAGGAGTCAGTATGTAGGTGTCACTTCTACTTATCTAAATCAATTATACATTTGTGTAGCGCCAATATCTCTGTCTGATACTTAAATCATTAGGATTAAAAAGTTTCGGAGTTTACCAAATCGAATTTATATTTTTGTCCACATCAAGTATATTTCCTGGAGATTAAATTTGGAATTGGATTAAGAAAAGAAAACTATTTAAGGGGAAATCAAGACTGAATTAAAAGAGCACCTCAATTAAATAAAGAATTCTCTATTTTTGCGGTAAAATCGATAAATCTCTGAATATCCCTTCTCCAAATCTTTTAAAAAATATATCATTATCTTCTTTAGTTATTTTTAACGGTAAAATGACAATCGGTATAGAAAAACCGAGGGTGAACACAAGTCAAATAGAAAAAAACAAAGTTTATTAAAAAAAAAAAAGACAGATTTTTACGCGCAGCCTTTTAAACAATCCTTTACTCAAAAAAAAAACGTGTATAAATACTTGAAGAAATATCCATTCATTACTCCAAAAAACAAAAAAAAAACAAACCAAAAAAAAAAAATGATGCGTCTTACAGTAATTCTGATGGTTGTTTGCTTATACTGCACGGAACAAGCGGAAGGAGGGTCGGTGTTTATCTACAACAATTTGCGGCACGGAAAGTTTCTGAAAGTGCATTGCAAATCAGGGGACAACGATTGGGGTTGGCACGTGAGAAAATATGATGGATTATACCATTTTAGCTTCAAGGATCATATACTTGACAAAACCCTTATTTGGTGTCATTTGTGGCGCGGTCGTAATTTCAAGATTACTCAGACTTTCGTCGCTTACGAATCTAAGAAGTATAAATCCAGACACACTTGGATGAGATGGTCCGCTAGGGAAAGTGGCATCTATGAGTCTATCGGTGGTAAACCTTTTCAATTCAGGTATAACTGGGGTGATAAACTTTGAATTTAGCTAGCTAGGGTTTCATGATTTCCAATTAATTTGTTCATGTATAATATACTATATATATAGTGTATATATGTGTTTGTGTTTTGTAATTATATGTTTCTCAACTAATTTGTGTATAACTGAATAATATACGTACGTACTTGTTACACTTTTTTTTCTTCTTCAGTTTTTCATTCTTGCTTATAGTAAACATATTGTCAAATGAAAAACATGATTCGTCAAAAGCAGTAAACATGATTTTGTTTTTTCCTGTTTCGAATTTAATTTTCTATATATAAGAAACGTGCGATGATGAAAGCAGACACGAGATCAAGAACAAGGCACAACTCACTCAATAATTAAAAGATTTGTCTTCTAAACGGAACTTATATATATACAACCGACTTGTTCTCCTTAACTCTCCCACTATCATATCTCTATCAAGATTTTAAAAGTTTAGTCGCTAATCGTCAAATTTGATCGATCGACGATTTAATCAAATACGAAATTTACAAAATCTTAACACACATGAAAATGTGGGAGTCCTTTTCGGTTGCACTATAAAGTTCAACTAATGTACAAACAAATGACATTTAGTATGTTTCTAACATACTAAATAAAAACTTTCATACTTATTTTAAGAAACTAATTTTTTTTTAGCATATATCATTTTGGTGATCATAGATGTACTGTTACTAACGTACTATATATATATAAATATATATAATTAAGGAGATGGAAGTGTTGCATTAAAATATAGCCTTGGGTTCAATGTCCAATAACCATGGGAACTGCTAAAAATATGCCACAATTTGAATGCAAATGCAAAAGTATACCCCAAATTCAACCTATTATAAAAATAGGTTAAAAGGGTAGAGAAATTACTATTATCTCCTACATGAGTAAACAAAAAAACGGAGAGCTCTATTACGATTTTAACCCTGCGAAGTCTGCAAATATTAATGAAGTCTGCAGAGCAAACTTATAAGAAGTCTGATATATTATTAAATTTTATATTTAAAATTTAAAATTATATAAAAATAATTTAAATTGAAATTTGTTTCTATAAATCAAATGTCAACAAGTATGATCTATATAAATTATAATTTAATAAAAATAAATCATTTTAGACCATCTAAGATAAACATAAAAAGTGAATAATTTTAAACTAGGGTTGTAAACTTCTTTATAAGTCTGCTTAAACCGTAAACCGTAAACTAGGGTTGTAGACTTCTGGAAAACGACGCCGTCCAATGGCAAGGGCTTGTTTGTGCTGTCTCAGGCTATGGCTCGTGCTAAAAGTTAACTAGCAAGTATTAAAAACACATATAACTGGGAAGATAATTTTAGGGGCCGGTGACTTTTTAGATTCGCTGGTCTTTATGCTCTCATCATCAGAGATGCTTATGTTTTACGACGTTTATCTTTATTACTAATAATAATATAAATAAAGATGGGTAACTTTTTTTTTTTATGTCGCCTGACATAAATATATGTTTTGTTGATTTCATCTTCTTCTAATTTGGTCGTTTTCTTCCAATCAGTATATATATGTATGCCAGATCTATAAGATTTAGGTGTGAATAATAAGAATAATGCAAAAAACTGACTGATTATGTGAAAAAATTGGTTTGCGGCCGCGAAAAAGAGTTGCAGAACTCGAAAAACCTAGATAGAAGACGAAACCAAAATTACAATTATGCCCTTTTAAAAACAAAAAAAAATAACAAAAATTGGAAGCATAATGGTTCGAACCCACGTACTTTGGGCAACAAGTGGATCTGTTTCCACCAGACCACAAGAGTTTGTTAACGTTGTATGCGTTAATAAAGTAATTTATATACTATCAAGACCGTTAACAAAAGTGGCCAATAGTTAATGTTGAGGACAAACCATGACAGGTAAATGCAAGAATAACTGATTTTTCAAACTTATACAAATGCAAGAACAATAACAAATAAAAATAATTGAAAGGAAGTAGACTTCTAAACTTCTTTAGAAGTCTGCAAAAATAGTTAAATCAAATAAGAAAATTCATTACTTTGTAATTATAACACATAACAACGTCAAACTCATATAGATGCAACACAAAAAACAAATAAACATGTCAAAACAAGAAAATCATTTTTACAAGTAACAAATATTTCAAAAATGAATTTTTAAGAAAAATAATTAGGCAGACTTCTTATGCAGTCTGCTATGATATGCTAATACGTAACAACAAACTTCATCTACAGACTTCTTTAGAAGTCTGCTTAGATGTGCTAATTACCTTTCAAACCAAAAAAAATTATAACTTTATAATTATAACACATAAACACATCAAACTCATACAGGTGCAAGAATCATATATAAAATGCATTTACAATTTAAAATTAAAAAAAAAACATTACAAATACTTTATAAAATACATTTTAAAATTTAAAAAAATACAGACATCCGTTCAAAATCCGCCGGGGAAATTTCACGTTGAAGTCTTCTAAAAAGAAAATGTTATTTTTGCATTTGACCAAATATTTGACTTTTCGTAATAGACTTCTTTTTGCAGTCTGCGAGAAGAAAATGTTATTTTTACAATTGACTAAAAGTTTGACTTTTAGAGCAGACTTTTTAAGAAGTCTGTTATAGTAAAGAAGTCTGTTTATGAAGTCTACTCTACATAAGAAGTCTACTCAAGGTTATTTTTGCAATTGACCAAAATGTTGACTTTCGAAGCAGACTGTTAAAGAAGTCTGCGGAGGTCAGATTTGCAGTTGACCGAATTTTAATTAAATAAATAGCAGACTAAGAAGTCTGCTATTTATTTTTTGTAGCAGACTTAATTGAAGTCTGCTATAAAAATCAAAAGTGGTCAAAATTTTGGTCAATTGCAAAAATAATCTCTCGAGTCAAATTACGAAATAGCAGACTTCTAAAAATAACTTTTTCTTCTCGCAGACTGCAAAAGAAGTCTACATGATTTTTTTTGTTTACAAAGGACAATTCGCAGACTTCTTTTGAAGTCTGCTTACACAAATATTAAAAAAAAAGTCAATTGCAAATCTAACCTCTGCGTTGACTAGCAGACTGAAAAAGAAGTCTGCTTTCGCGAAACAAAGCTAAATGTTAAAGAAAATGAAGTAGATGTTTACCTACTTCCAATTTAAACTCGATTAATTTTGACAAACACCCATAATTTTGTATAGCACCGATAACAAACTAGCTAAGTCATTGTTATGCAAGAATCTCCAAAAATAGATGATTTATGAAATTGGAATTTATAAAAATGAGCATGAAAGAGTTTTTTAGATGAAATTGGAGAGAAATTTGTAGGTAAAATGAAGTTATAAGCGAAACAATAAGCATTTAGAGCTTCAAAATTGGTTGGGCAAACATTTAGAGCTTCAAAACTGGTTGGTAATGGTGGTTGGCAAAATTGAAGAATATAGCATTTTCGTAAATAAATGATATATTTTAGGATGGTTGTGTCTTTTTAGTATTTTTAAGAAAAAACAAAATTTAAAAACATAATGGCATTTTTGTGAATATATGTGGTTGTAAGGAGATATTAGGGAAAAAATGACATTTATATTTATCAAAGAGAGAGAAAAAGAGGTTATTTTTGCATTTGACTTCAAATTGTCGGTTATTTTTATAAGTACCCCAATAAAACATTCAGTCGGCCACCATTACTTTAAATATTCTACAATATATATCGATGTAGAATTTTTCAATTAATATGGGCATTCTACGAGTTGGAAGACGTTTGCAAGAATATTCTAAACAGTAGGATGTACGTAAAATATACAACACTACTACATCGTCCAATAAATTAATATAGTCGTTCAAAAATTTGTCTGTGGACGTAAATGTATCGATCTGACTTTTTTGGGTAACCAAATGATTGTTTATTTAAACAAAAAAAATATAATGTTTGTTTATAATTTGAGTGTGGACGTGAACAATAGATTGGTTGGGACATTCTCTTCGAGCCACCTAAAGCGAACCGAGGGGCAGCAGCCATCGCTAAAAGCGTAGTAGCAGAGCTTCGTCTCCCATCCTACGTTGCCCAAGGAAGCCCATTATAGCTGTTTTTTGGAGCTAGTCTTTTTAGTGCTTTCGACTCTATGGTTGATGGTCTCTGTTTTTCAGAGTAACTCTGTTTTTTCAGCTTCCCCTGCTTTAAGGGCCTTCTTAATGAAATTTAGATGACAAAAAAGGACATGAACAAGCAATAGATAGTGGAGACTAATTTAGTCAACAATGTTACAATGAATAAGTGCAGTAAAATATGTACTTAACTGAAGTATATAATACAGAAAATATGTACTAACGTGTAATTGTATATATATGTTATGGTTATTACATGCAGTCCAGGTTATCCAGTCGACTCTTCTCTAATCATTGAGAATAAGCAATTATTAGTCACTATCATTTTATGCTAATTATTAGCTACTTCCAACAGTGGAGAGTAGACTTCATATAAAATTATTTCAGCAATAACTAATCCCCTAAATTCACAGATTTAATATTTCATCTTAAATTATGATACTTGCTTATGCATATGAGTATGTGAACATGTCAGAAGACCACTTATCAACTAAATATGCTACTAATTGAGAAAAATGTAAGTTCGTTTAGTATATCAAGTGCTCATACAGAAAATATCCATATTGCATCAAAAAAAAAAAAGTATCTATAAAATGTAATTAAACTTGTTTGAAAAAGAGAGTAGTAGAAACTGACATATATTCTCATTAGTTTATGCTGTTGATCCATTTTCACTGGCATGTAAATTAGACATACACCTATATTGTGAGTAGAAGTATACATTCATGTTTCGCTTCAGCTTTTTATATGAAAACTGTTCAAAATTAATCTAAGTTTTCATTTCAAAAAATATTCCTCTAACATATTAATTTTTGTCTTAGTTACCAGATTACCCACTTTTTAGTATTCGCAATGTTAGTCTAATCGGATTAATCAATATAGATATTAAATAGAAACATTGTTACTGATTAGCAATCTGAAAAGTCGTGGAAATACGATGAGCTGCACTTGTTGATTTCTTGTTACTTAATAATATTATTCTTTACGTGAAGGTGCTCTTCACATCATGCAAGTATGAACAAATCAGCATATACTTCATAATACATACACACGCCAACATGTGTAAACTATATTATTATATCTTGAAATTGTAGTTTATACACAAGTTAGACTTTCTATTCACAAGTTTTTTTTAGATAAAATAACAGTTATTTATAATTCATGCGAATATGCATGATTCTAGAAAACGTAACAATGATACGAACATATATACATTATATATATACATATATCACCTTACTTATGGCTCTAATCTAACATAAATTATTAATTAGCAATATTAATTGAATTTACCGCATTTACATGTATCTATACACTACACACAAGAATGAAACGAGATGCTGATTAAATTTCTACTTGGTTGATATTTATGTTTGGTTATTTCGAAATTCTCTTCAATTTACACATTTTCAATTTAGTTTCAACTAAGAGACTTGGTCATTATTAAGTTATACTTTTCCCAATTATTGTCTCAAATCTGCATTAATAAGTCGTCGAACTCTTAGGACATAATATTAGTTGGACTTAAGTTTTTTTTTCTTTGGTGTGTGTGTGTCAATTTTAGAAATTAATTAGAAGATTTTATTTATTCATGTAACAAACATGTACGCATACGTATTAACTAGAAATATATGCCAAATAATTTATTTATTTTTCTTAAAAAAAAAGAAGAAGATGGAGTGGAGTAATGGTAGAGAGAGACGAAGGGAGAGCCGTAGATTCCGTGAGAGCCAGGCTTGCACTATCATTAATCTACACATTCGTTCACCCAAAGTAATCTCTTGGCCTCTTACTTCCATTTTAGTTTTCTTTTTTTGCTCTTAAAATTATTTAATATTTTATCCGCGATGGCAAAACTAGAAGATCAGATAACAAGAATTGTAGTATATAGCTGATAAAAATAGCGTGTCGTCTAGTTAATATTCGATCGTTATTTGTATCAGTCACAGTTATAACAAAAGAAAATATTGAGTTAATTGTTAGATCCGGATTATTAAAAAACATTCATTTTTATCAGTTTCGACAACCGGATGATTCAACCACATGTAATTATTTAAAATAAATATTGATAAATAAAATAAATAAAGCCACATGTGATTCTTTCGACAGAACTAATCCAAGAATAAGTTTGTTATACAGAGTAAAAGAAAGGGATAATGAAGAGACAAATAACACATTACTCAAGTAATTGTCTAAATTTATACATTGTTGGTTCTCTATCTCTCTCTCTCTCTCTCCTCTCTCTAGCTCTTGTGTATTGTGATGAGTTTGCCAAGTTGGGAAAATTGTAATAGAGACAATAACAGAAGTACTAAAATTTAAGAGGCTGCAAAAAGACAAGTCCAACATATTCCACACACTTGAGAATGTGGTGTCTCTCTTTGACTCCTCTCCCTAAATCACTCTCTATTTATGTATGCATCTCTCCAATCCACACACACATATGTCTCTCTTAACACACACATACATGTTTATATATAAGCAAATAATGCAATCCCTGCTCATCCTCCATCTTCAAATCGAATTCTCTCTGATGAATTCATCTTCTTTTTCAATTGATCAATTCCACTTTTTCTCTCTTTATCTCTTGAATCCCTCTATATAGAGCCAATGGAAATAGCTGAGGAGGCGATATCGGCCGCTAAGGAGCAATCATCATCGATCCTTAAAGGAAAACGCACTAAGCGGCAGCGTCCGCTTTCCCCAATCCCTTTCTCTATCGTCCCTCCTATGTCTTCGCAAGAACCAGATGTCGAAGAAGAGTCCACTAGTCTTGTTTCCAAGGACAAGTGTCTCAATGATGAGATGATCAACAACAACAACAAGAATGATAACAACATTTTGATCAATGGTGTGACATCTTCATCTTCTGCCTCTTCGTCTTCTAACAACAATGAGACGTTAAAGGCCGCGGCTGACGAGGAAGACCAAGATATGGCTAATTGTTTGATCCTCCTCGCCCAAGGTCACCACAACCATCAACAACCACAACAACAAACAAGACAACTTATGATCAGTTACCAAGAATCCGGTAACAACAACAACAATGCGTATAGATCTAGCAGCAGGAGGTTTCTAGAGACATCTTCATCTAACGGGACCACGACGAACGGCGGTGGAGGAAGAGCCGGTTACTATGTTTACCAATGCAAAACATGTGACCGGACTTTTCCTTCTTTCCAAGCTCTTGGTGGCCATAGAGCCAGCCACAAGAAGCCTAAAGCCGCCGCGGGTCTTCATGACCTCAAGAAGTCTATCTACGACGACGCCGTTTCTCTTCAACTCAACAAAGTCCTCACCACAACTCCTAACAACAATAATAACCATAGATCGCTTGTGGTATACGGCAAAGCGAGTAATAATAAGGTCCATGAATGTGGGATATGTGGAGCCGAATTCACATCCGGACAAGCCTTAGGTGGTCACATGAGACGTCATAGAGGCGCAGTGGTGGCCGCAGCAGCCGCTTCTACCGCAACAGTAGCGGTTGCGGCTACTGCAAACACGGCTTTGTCATTGTCACCTATGTCGTTTGATCCGATGTCCGATGGTCCGGTTCAGGCTCCGGTTAAAAAAGCGAGGAGTGCGGTTGTGTCGTTAGATTTAGATCTGAATCTACCTGCCCCGGAAGATGAGAATCGAGTCAACGGATTAAGCTTTGCTTCAAAGCAAGAACACGAACAAGAACATGAACAAACACAACAGAAGACACAGAGAGAAGAACAAAAGTCTCTAGTTTTGTCTACTGCTCCTACATTGGTGGATTGCCATTACTGAATTAAAATTCAATAACCAAATTCGTTTATTGATTTTTATATTTTACGCTGAAATTGATGAACCATTTTTTTAAAAGAAATTACTGATTCCTTGCTTGTACAAGACTTGTAAGATTCCTTTTTTTTTTTCTTTGTTTACTTCATTTCAAAACAAAACTCCATACTATACAAATATATATACCTATTAGCCACACGGTTTTTCTTAATTTGTGTTCCTAGTCTATATGTGCAGATGCTATGTAATTACATCCAAGTTAATGTAAGTTCTTTTGGCTGGAAATTAATCCTGTAATAAGTATCATAGTCTCCATTTTATTCTCTTCTTTACCCCTAGTATTAAGAAAAAATATTATTCTAGCTAAGCATTTTGTACAACCCTTTTTCTTAATATTTGAAATTGACCTCTAATGATAATTGTTTAACGACTTATGTCAAGTTCATGTGTACTTTTAACTGATGAAGAATGTCTTTTTCGGAGAAAAAAAAAAATCCTCTAAAAAACAAAAGAAAGTAAAGTTCATGAAAAGAGCGTGACAAGTCCTTACTCGTTTTGTAAAACTTGCATTCTAACAGAATACAAGTGTTAGTGTTGACATTAAAAGAGAGTGAAAGACCAAAATACAGTATTACTATGCCCGTTTTGCTTTTATTTTCTTTATTATTGTCAAACTCGACCATGTACAATCAACATTACAACATCAAATGCAGTGATGCACCACTTTCTATGGATATATATAACACTAAAAACTAATCTGGTGTTAATTCTATTAAAAGTCACAAGATGGTTGCAAATTTAAAAAGAAATAGAATGTCGCAAATCATTGAAATATGCAACTACTTTTCGGAATTTCAATTCACAACACTTTTCTGAGTGTATTACATTTTTGCCTTCCGAAGACGGAATGCATGTTGTTTTAGTCTCAGTAGGAGAATCTGTCTGCCATTAAAATGGGCTACATATAACTAATGGGGCTACATATAACTAATGGGCTACAAATAACGAATGGGCTTTAACATTATTTTCTAAAAAGTCAGGCCCATAATTTAATCCCGAGGGTCGCCCATTCTTTTTTTTTGGGGGGTGGGGTGGGGGGGGGGGGAGGTAAGTATTAGGCTGAAAAAAGTTGTCTTGATATTTTAGCATTTTGTCCTTTTTTGGGGACAGTGGTGTCAGCACTGACAGCCTAAAATATATAGATAAAAAAATGTTTTATTTAATTTTTTACTTTACTGTTCTAAATGTATGTAATTATAAGAGGAGGATATTTTTCGTTTTCAAGTTTCAACTCTTTTTCGAATAGTTGAGAAACGGAGCAGAAACAAAATAATCAATTCCCTAGAGATTATCATTACAATAATGCTTCGTTCGCCCCGCGCTCTATACGTATAATTTTCAAAACATTTTCATCTAAATGCTGACAAAATATATAAATATCCATAGTTGTTAGATTTGAAATACGTTACTCTCATTTGTAGAAGTAATTTTCAGGCAATCAAAAGATTACAAATGGAGAAAAAATACATATGTGCGCTAAGTATATTATATATACATGCAATTTAAAAAAATAAATATATATATATATATAGATATTAACAACTTTTTCTCGTATATATATATAAACTTCGTTTAATAAAAAAGAAAAAGCAAATTTGAATAATTTATAAGAAACTAAGAACTAATCATAAAAAATTAGAGTTATCTTATGTAAAAGGGAAACTAAAAATATATAAGACTGATCAAACTTTAGTCCAAAAATTAGATCTGCAAATTGAAAGAAAATTGCATTACTAGAAGACAGAAGAAGAGAAGAAAATAAATGAAAATGAATAAAATATAAACAGAAAATTGGGAAGATGATGATTCGTGTGGACCAAGTCTCATCCCCTTTAGCTTGCCTTATTGGTAAAGTATCCTTCTGCAAGCAAACGTACCTGTCACTCCTTTTTTTCACCTTCTATTCTCTCATTAACATTTTTTTAAGGGTCAACTTCTCGTTAGCTTGTAACATTTAAACTAATTAGTATTACCAACATCACAATTTCTATTTACATCTTGTAATTGACAATATCTCTAATTACACCGTTAATTACTGTTTTACCCAAAAAGAAATGACATTATCCTAGTTAAAGAAAATTTATTAAATTAAGTGATTAGACAAAACTAGACAGTATTTTAAAGTTAAATATTTGAAACTAATCTCGAGGCATAAGGAACTAATTAGTATTTTTTTTTAAAAGCCCCAATATATCCAACGGAAGATATTGTTATTATTTTTTTTTTAAGATATTGGAATCCTGGTATGAGGAAAAAGGCAAATGTCAAAAATTGAATTTTTTTCTGATGAAAATAAAACCATTACATATCTTGCATATATATATTTTCCAAAAAATATAGTTTTCTTACAAAGGTTTTTTACTCTAATTAGTATCATTTAAAACTGCAGTATTTTATGATATAAGATATATATACAATGCATTTAGTATAAAAGGAATTTTTAATTCAGTGACCAAAATACTTTACAATTTAAAATGATTCAATATTGCACAAATTTTGTTTTTATAGTTAGAATTTGATAAATTAATGGTTTAGACACTTTTAAAAGAGTTGGTTCGTAATATATATAAAAATTACTTTTTCTGGATTTATTTAATTATTTTTTTAATTTTATCCATACAGATTAAAAACATATTAATTGTATTAGTTTTCTAATATAAAAATATCATTAATTATCTACTTAAATATAATTCAATCAATAATAAAACAAATTGTATAATAAAAGTAATTATAAAAATAAAAATTAATAAAGTTTTCATTGAAAATGGAAAATATAACTAATTTAAAATAAACAAAATTTTCTAAAACGATAATTAATATAAATCGGAGAGAATAATAAACTATTTTTGTTAAATATTTACTTTTCAGACCACCACGACAGTGTTGTTGCCTTTATACTACTGCATAAAACGACAAAATTATATGTAGTAACATTTTCAAGGGTTTTATTACTGCAACAAAAAGAGAAAAATAGTAGTAGTAATAATAATTAATTGGGAAAATGAAAAATGGAAATCAAATCGGAATAGCAATTGTTTCTTCTTCCATTAAAGAAATAAATTTCTTGCAATTGAAGGTACCTTTTAATCTTGGGCTTCTCTCTTTGGTTTTTCTCCATCAAAATCAAAGTCCCATTTGCCAACTTGTCTTGCTCCTAGAGTGGTGAGGTTTGGGGAAAACGAGATTTAGAAGAAACCCTATAACAACTACGGTCTTTGCTTTAATGGGTCGCGAATCTGTGGCTGCTCTGTCCTCGCCGCCGACGGCGACTGCTACGGGTACTGCTGCGGCGGCGACGTCGCTTGCTCCGGGCTTCCGATTTCATCCGACTGATGAGGAACTCGTGAGCTATTACTTGAAGCGGAAGGTTCAGAACAAACCCGTACGCTTCGATGCGATTGGGGAGGTCGATATCTACAAGCATGAGCCCTGGGATTTAGCAGGTCCGCTCGGTTACTGACTCTCTCTCTTCCTCTGTTTCATTTTGGGAATCTGTATGAACTGGTTTTTTTCTGTGAGAGTGAAATTTGTTGCTTGTGATTTGGGATTGTTTGTGGCCTGGGCTTCTTCGCTGGTTCGTCTTCTGACTCATTTCTGGGAGAAAGTTTTTTGCTTTCATGGGCGCCGATTCATTTTCTGGGATAATTTTGTTGCAGATTCTCTGTTAGTTCCCTTCGCTGTGTTTAGGCTGCAACACTGTCAAAAATTTACTTCCAATCGACGTATAAACTGGGCAAAATCTAGTTTTTTTTTTTTTTTTTTTCAGATTCCTTCAGAATTTCTTGCTATCTTGTGCTTCAGTTTTGTTTGCTTGTGTTTCAGGAAATGAAGTCTGTTGTTCTGTGATTGTTTTATCTGAAGTGTTGTGTTTAATGTTATTAAGCCCGGTTTCATTTTTTGTCATCTGGTGTGTTGTGTCTTTCAGATCCCCTAAGGATTTCTTGCTAACTTGTGCTCCACTTTAGTTTGCTTGTGTTTCAGGACATGAAGTTTTGTTGTTGTCTGTTTGGTTATCGGAAGTTTTGAGTTTAGTGTTATGAAGTCGGGTTTCATTTTTGTCATCTGGTGTGTTGTATTTCAGATTCCGTAAGGGATTTCTTGCTAACTTATGCTCCACTTTCGGTTGCTTGTGTTTCAGGACATGAAGTTTTCTTGTTGTGTGTATCTCAAGTTCTAAGTTTAGTGTTATTATGTCTGGTTTGATTTTCTCTTCTGCTGTGTTCCAGTGTTTTCGAGGTTGAAGACGAGGGACCAAGAGTGGTACTTCTTCAGCGCGTTAGATAAGAAGTATGGGAACGGTGCTAGAATGAACCGAGCAACTAACAAAGGATACTGGAAAGCAACAGGAAAGGACAGAGAAATCCGCCGTGACATTCAGTTGCTCGGTATGAAAAAGACGCTTGTTTTCCACAGCGGGCGTGCCCCAGACGGGCTCCGGACCAATTGGGTCATGCACGAGTATCGCCTCGTGGAATATGAAACCGAGAAAAATGGAAACCTGGTGGTATAGTTTTGTCCCAAAACAGTTACTTACTTTCGGATTGGTATATTGTCAAAAGAATCCCAAGTTAACATCCTGTCTTAAGTCTTAACTCAATCCTTTGTCTGGGTGTGCAGCAAGATGCGTATGTGTTGTGCAGAGTGTTCCACAAGAATAACATTGGGCCACCAAGTGGGAACAGATATGCGCCGTTCATGGAAGAGGAATGGGCTGATGATGAAGGAGCTCTGATCCCTGGAGTGGACGTTAGGGCCAGGGTTGAACCATTACGACTTGCCAATGGAAACAATCACATGGACGAGGTTTGTGCTTCCTTGATAACCCAGAAGCTGATTAGTTTCATTTCAGTATTTCTTATATGCAAAATCTCTGTGATGAAGCGTACTGAAGGATTTGTTGTGTTGTGGTGAACATTTCAGTTTATCTTCATCTGAAACGTAGATCAACGCATTTGGTTCCCAGATATTTTATTTGTGGCTTCTGGAGTTCACATAACTTGAAATTTGTGGTAGGAAACCCAGCCAGGAACCAAGGACCTCATTAACATCAACGAGCCACCAAATGAGACTACTCCAATGGACCATCAGAATCATGATGAGAATAACCAATGTAATGAAGGTGAGGAAGCACCCAAACGTGAGCACGCAGATGAAGAGGATCGTCCTCCTCCTTTATGCGTTCTCAACAAAGAAGCTCCGCTACCTCTACTCCAATACAAACGCAGACGCCAGAACGAGTCTAACAACAACTCAAGCATGACCACACTGGAACACTGTTCGTCCACAACAACAACCGTCGACAACACACCAACCTTGGTCTCATCATCTGCTGCTGCTGCCACCAACACGGCCATCTCTGCATTGCTTGAGTTCTCTCTCATGGGTATCTCCGACAAGAAAGAAAACCCGCAGCAGCCATTATTACGTCCTCACAAGGAAGCTTCTCCTCCTACTCCACTTGCATCTCCAGAAGAGAAGCTCAATGATCTCCAGAAAGAGATTCATCAGATGTCTGTTGAGAGAGAAACTTTCAAGCTTGAGATGATGAGTGCAGAGGCTATGATCAGCATTCTCCAGTCAAGGATCGATGCACTGCGCCAGGAGAACGATGAGCTGAGGAAGAACAACGCCAAGGGACAAGAAATGCTCTAAAACCATCTCTCCAGATTTCTTCTTCTTCTTTGCCTTTTAGAGCTGTAATCTCCCCCCAGTATTATGAGCTTTCTAGTTTCTATGTAGCTTCTTCGATTGAAAACCGGTCCCGGTGCTTTCTTATCTTTCCTTTTTTTTTTCTGATGTTTATGCATCTTTTGAAATCAATTTCAGGTTGCTCCATTGTCATATATTGTCATCTAGTCTTTCTGTCGTATATTGTCATCTAGTCTTTCTGTCAAGAACACTATTTAATTTGTCTAAGGAATGTTCAATCTCCCTGATTTACCGTTATTATAAATAGTGGTCTGCTTTTAGGACATAATTGTCGTTTCAATTTGCCTTGAAGCTGTAATCTTACTGATTATGAATTATGAGCTCTTTCATAATTCATATGTTTTCCGTCTCCATGAGAAATGAGAAGAGAGCTTCTTACGTCTCCTCGTGATTAATGATAGGTCATCGTGATTAATGATAGGTCAGGATATAACCGTGATTTAACAATTTGGATAGCGTTACGATTTACTTATTAATGTAGTTCCCGTCAACGACGTTAGAAGACTTTTGTTAGACGTAATTTGCAATTATTTTAAAAAGCAAAAAGGTTTGGTACGATAAGGCCTCCACTTTTTCAAATAATATATATGTATACTTCAATTCAATTTCTTTTAAACAAGTTATTTGCTAAAGAAATTAATTAAAAAGGGAAATACTGTATATAAACTTGAGCTAAACAACTATCTCAACAAATTCGGATTAAAATCTTGTCCCAAATTTTGTTTTGTCTATCCAATAGATGTTGTTCAAACATTGTCACAACACCCTCAATATATAAATACTTTCTTGGACACAGTTAGATAGAGATATTGAAAGCAAAACACAAGTAAACTTTCACTTATAACTTTTCAACAATTGCTTAGTTCCCATTGGTTCGTGGTCCTCTTTTTCTTAGTTTTTCAGAATTCTAAAATCTTTATTTCTATATAATATTTAATTTGTTTTTATATGTTTTATTATTCGATATGATCGGTGATGGATTATTGACAAAAACCTCATTAATTTCTTTATAGACTTAGTGATGGGTGGCTATGAGTGGACCACTACTTAGCCTGGCCGTATTTACTTGGCGGTTTGGCTAGCCATAATGGAGCCAATGATATAGACCATAAATTATCTGATTTGCAGCTGCAGAACCCATGTAAGAATATGTTTTTTTGGTGCATCTTATTATCAAAGCTTAATCTACAAGCTTCTAAGATTATTGTACAAAAATTATCTTATTCTTTTAGTTTATTTTAATTTTTAAAAACACCTTTTCATTTTGGGTATACATATGTTTCAAAAAAGAAATATTATCAGAGTACATTTTTTGTACAAACGTATTAATTTTGGAATGGTTTTATATTGTAATAATGGGATTTCATAGGGTTTTATTAAATTGGGTGGATTTTTGATTTATGTTATACGGAATTTGTCTATGTTTAGCATTTTGTTTCAAAATTTATTGTTTGTGTATCTCATTTACGAGTTTGTGCGTCTATTATAGCTTGTGATTTGAGATTTCTGTGGTTTTAGCTTCTTTGCGGGCTTTAGTCTTCTGATTTAATTCCCGAAAAATGGTTTATCTTTATGGGCTCAGATTCATTTCTGGAAAAGTTTCTTTGCAGAATTACCTCTTAGACTGTAATTCTACTTTAGGAGATGAAAGATTGTAAAATTACTTTGAGACCACAAGACACGACAGCATTCTTTCATTTCTTTCATTTTATTACATAATACGACAAAACCTATGCAGTAACATTTGCTAGGGTTTATTATTGCAACACTCTTAAAAAAAAGAAAAAATGAGAACAATCCAATTCAATTGCAATCCGAAATTTTGTTTTTAAGCCTTCTGAGAAAAGCAAAAAGAAATAAATTTCTTGCAATTGAAGGTACCTTTAATCTTGGGCTTCCTCTCTTTTGGTTTCTTTCTCCATCATATCAAAAAAACCCATTTTCCCAACATTTCTCTGTTGGGTGTTCGTCTGGTGAGGTTTGGGGAAAGAGAGATTTAGAAGAAACCCTAGAACAAGTACGGTCTTTGCTTTAATGGGTCGCGAATCTGTGGCTGCTCTGTCCTCGCCGCCATCAGCGACTGCTCCGAGTACTGCGGCGGCGACGGCGCTTGCTCCTGGCTTCCGATTTCATCCGACTGATGAGGAACTTGTGAGCTATTACTTGAAGCGAAAGGTTCTGAGCAAACCCGTACGTTTCGATGCGATTGGGGAGGTCGATATTTACAAGCATGAGCCCTGGGATTTAGCAGGTCTGCTCAGTTACTGTATCTTTCTCTTTCATTTTGGGTATCTGTATGAATTGGGTTTTTTCTGTGAGAGTGAAATTTGTTGCTTGTGATTGTTCGTGGCCTGGGCTTCTTCGCTTGTTCGTCTTCTGACTCAATTCTGGGAGAAAGGTTTTTGCTTTGATGGGCGCCGATTCATTTTCTGGGATGATTTTGTTGCAGATTCTCTGTTAGTTCCCTTCGCTATGTTTAGGCTCAAAGAATTACTTCCAATCGACTTATTAACTTGGCAAAATCTAGTTTTTTTTTTCATCCAGATTCCTTAAGAATTTCCTGCTATCTTGTGCTTCAGTTTTGTTTGCTTGTGTTTCAGGAAATGAAGTCTGTTGTTCTGCGATTGGTTTATCTGAAGTGCTGTGTTTAATGTTATTAAGTCCGGTTTCATTTTTTGTCATTTGGTGTGTTGTGTCTTTCAGCTCCCCTAAGGATTTCTTGCTAACTTGTGCTCCACTTTAGTTTGCTTGTGTTTCAGGACATGAAGTTTCTTGTTGTGTGTATCTCAAGTTCTAAGTTTAGTGTTATTATGCCTAGTTTGATTTTCTCTTCTGCTGTGTTCCAGTGTTTTCGAGGTTGAAGACGAGGGACCAAGAGTGGTACTTCTTCAGTGCGTTAGATAAGAAGTATGGGAACGGTGCTAGAATGAACCGAGCAACTAACAAAGGATACTGGAAAGCAACAGGAAAGGACAGAGAAATCCGCCGTGACATTCAGTTGCTCGGTATGAAAAAGACGCTTGTTTTCCACAGCGGGCGTGCCCCAGACGGGCTCCGGACCAATTGGGTCATGCACGAGTATCGCCTCGTGGAATATGAAACCGAGAAAAATGGAAACCTGGTGGTATAGTTTTGTCCCAAAACAGTTACTTACTTTCGGATTGGTATATTGTCAAAAGAATCCCAAGTTAACATCCTGTCTTAAGTCTTAACTCAATCCTTTGTCTGGGTGTGCAGCAAGATGCGTATGTGTTGTGCAGAGTGTTCCACAAGAATAACATTGGGCCACCAAGTGGGAACAGATATGCGCCGTTCATGGAAGAGGAATGGGCTGATGATGAAGGAGCTCTGATTCCTGGAGTGGACGTTAGGCTCAGGGTTGAACCGCTACCACTAGCCAATGGAAACAATCACATGGACGAGGTTTGTGCTTCCTTAGTAACCCAGAAACTGATTAGTTTCATTTCAGTATTTCTTATGTGCAAAATCTCTGTGATGAAACCACCTTAAAAATGGACTAGTCTATTGATGAACCAATCTACTACTTCAGTTTTTATTAAATGCAAGTGTCAAAATTTCTTATATGCAAGAACTTCTTGTTGAAGTGAAGCTTCTCTACGTACTATTTCAGTTGGCTGAGTTACATGAACTTCGAGTCTGTAACCAACACTTGTAGAAATCCACCTTAAAGATTTATCTGATGAGTTACCTCTCTTGGTTCACAAGATATCTAAATTTCTTAGGTCCTTTTTTTGGGATGGATTTATTCACAATCGTTTTCATTACAAGATCGTTTAAACTTAGTATCCTCGTTTGAGCAGCGCTTGCCATTTTGCATCATATGAACTCACTTAATCGATAAATGAATGTTGATCAAAATGAAAAAGATTTGTTGTGTTTTGGTGAAAGTTCAGTTATGATCTTCATCTGTTAAGTTGGCTTAAGCATTTGGTTTCAGTTATGAAGCATTTGGTTTCAGTTATTGGTGCCTTCTGGGGCTCATATAACTGTACTCTCTCTGAATTTCAGTCAGCAAGCAAGGCTCTCATTAACATCAACGAGACACCAAGAGATGCTACTCCAATGGATGTCGAAATTAACCATCAGAATCATGATGAGAAAGCCATCATTCCGCAGGAGAATAACAACAATAAGCATAATGATGAAGTTGAGGAAGCACTCAAACGTGAGCATGCAGAAGAAGAAGATGACCGTCCTCCTCCTTTATGCGTTCTCAACAAAGAAGCTCCGCTACCTCTACTCCAATACAAACGCAGACGCCAGAACGAGTCCAATAACAACTCAAGCAGGACCACACAGGACCACTGTTCGTCCACAACAACAACCGTCGACAACACACCAACCTTAATCTCATCATCTGCTGCTGCTGCCACCAACACGGCCATCTCTGCATTGCTTGAGTTCTCTCTCATGGGTATCTCCGACAAGAAAGAAAACCCGCAGCAGCCATTATTACGTCCTCACAAGGAAGCTTCTCCTCCTACTCCACTTGCATCTCCCGAAGAGAAGCTTAATGATCTCCAGAAAGAGATTCACCAGATGTCTGTTGAGAGAGAAACTTTCAAGCTTGAGATGATGAGTGCAGAGGCTATGATCAGCATTCTCCAGTCAAGGATCGATGCACTGCGCCAGGAGAATGATGAGCTGAGGAAGAACAACGCCAAGGGACAAGAAATGCTCTAAAACCATCTCTCCAGGTTCCTTCTTCTTTGTTGCCTTGTAGCTGTAAACTTCACCTCTGTTGTAAAATTAGGATAAAACGGATCGCAGCCGCTGAGCTGTGTGTTTTTATTTATGTCTGTCTTTTGGATGTTTATGCATCTTTTGAGAACATTTTCAGGTTGCTCCACTGTCATATATCATCATCTTTATCTTTTTTTTTGTCCACGTATTATCATCTTAATCTTCGGACAAGAACGCTCTTTGATCGTCTCAAGAATTTTTAGTGAGGGAAAAAAAAAAATGTTTAGCAAAACCGATATTAGTGATCAGGTCTGAGGGCATAATAGTCTTTCACAAGAAGATTATCCCTCCTTACGAGACCTTTTAGTAAATTGACCAAAAAATAAATCTGTGTAGTAAGTTGACCCAAAAATAAATATCCGTGTCATGAATAATTCCGGTATAGATTACGAATGTGGTTGCATCAGCACGTTTGAAGACTTTTGTTACAAGTAAATTTGTAATTATTTAAATAACCAAAAAGTTTTTTGGCACGATATAATTGAAGTTGGATTCCGGTTTTCAAACAAATAAGATTTTCATATTTTGGGTTTATTATTTATATGGAATTCCTCCCTCTAATATGATTCAACCCAATGAAATTTAAATTTTTTTATTTATCTACAATTACAAAAGTGGATAAAATATATATAACCTCAACAAATTCCAGAGAAAAAAATCTAAGATTATTTAAAGTCTTTTCCTACGTGTCGTTGCAGAAGAGATTGTCACCCAAAAACTATCACAGCATGTCACTTTATGTTCTCTTGGCACACTTTACTGATATTAAAACCTCAAAGCCTAAAAATTTCACTTACATATTTTCCGCGGTAGCTTAGTCCCGTTGGTTTCGTCGTCAATCTCTCGTTCTCCGATTTGCTGCTATTTCTTATTTTTTTCTTTCTAAAACCCCAATTTTTCCTATTACATCCGCTTCTTTCTTTCTTTTCCGATTCGACGACCCTGTCCTGCATTAAGGAGAATAATTTTATTCAACCTTTGTATTTGCGTTTTTTTGGAATGTCTCGTGGCTCAGAGACGTCACTTGCTCCTGGGTTCCGTTTTCACCCAACGGAAGAAGAACTCGTTTGTTACTATCTGAAACGAAAGATCTGTAATAAACCCTTTAAATTCGATGCCATCTCGGTCACCGATGTCTACAAATCCGAGCCGTGGGATCTCCCAGGTCAGTTTCGATTTTGTTTCCTTCCTCTTGAATCAAGATTAGATCCGATGAATTGTGTTTAGGGAACGATCGTAAATGATACTTTTTTTATTTCAAAATAGACAAGTCGAAGCTGAAAAACAGAGACTTGGAGTGGTACTTCTTCAGTGTGCTTGATAAGAAGTATTCAAATGGATCGAAGACGAACCGTGCCACTGAGAAGGGATACTGGAAGACGACTGGGAAAGATCGGGAGATTCGTAATGGGTCAAGAGTCGTAGGGATGAAGAAGACTCTTGTTTATCACAAAGGTCGAGCTCCTCGTGGCGAAAGAACCAATTGGGTTATGCACGAGTATCGGTTGGTTGATGAAGACCTCGAGAAAGCTGGTGTTCAGCAAGTAAGATTTGTATGTTTAATCGTGTTTTGCCGACTTCTTATTACATGTCATGGGATTGACTTTTGTTTTGTTTTGTGTCTCTTGGGAATTGTGGAAAGGGTGCCTATGTGCTTTGTAGGATATTCCATAAGAGTGGAACAGGTCCTAAAAACGGAGAACAGTACGGTGCTCCGTTTCTTGAGGAGGAGTGGGAGGAGGAGGATGATATGACTTACGTTCCTGATCAAGCTCCTGCAAGTGAAGATCATGTTTATGTCGACGTGGATGATATTGTTCAGGTTTGTGGTCTAGTTTATGTCCTATTGCTTATCTTGATTCTTTAGGGTTACAGTAATCTATAGCAATTGGTGAAATGTTTGATACTGATCGATGAATGATAAGGAATAGTATATCAACATATTCCCTCTTAGGCTGTCTGTGATGTTTCTCCATTTCTGAAATCGAATTTTGCTCCTTGCAGAAGCCTCACAACCTTGTGGTCTATGACGCTGTTCCTATTCCGTTGGACTTTAATCTCGGGGAGTCCAGCGATAATGTTGAAACTAATTACTCAGACTCCGTAAACTATATTCAACCAGGAAACTGTGTGCACTCTAATGGCTACTTCGAACGACCAGCGGAGTTCTCTGAGGAAGAGCAGAAGTCTATCATCCGTGATGGTAGATTGTTTTCGGATGAAGAAAACGGCTGTGGTGTCAAGAACGAGAGCACAGAAAATTTGCAATCTTCTGACAACATCTTTGAGACTGATACATCACACTTCAATGATTTTCCGGTTGAGAGCAACTACTTTACCGGTGAGGCGTTTCTGGATCCGAGCAGTAATCTTCCGCAGAACGATGGTCTGTACCTGGAAACGAATGATCTCAGCAGTACTCAGCAAGATGGTTTCGACTTTGAAGATTATCTTACCTTCTTTGATGAGGACGATGAGAATGCTCAAAACTTGACTTTCGATCCTTCTCAACTGATGGGAACTGATGATGTTATTGCCGATCAAGAAGAGCCCCTTGAAAAGGTATAAACCCTTTATCATTTGACTTGTTTTAAGTTTCCTTTAACTTACCTTTCTAAACCAACAGGCCGAGACTGAGAAATTAGAAAAAGAGGAAAGCTCAGGAGGCAAACAATTGATGGGAGAAAAGGAAATGGATGCAGCATCTTGTATGAAACTAGTCGATGCAGATGCAACAGAGCTCGAGCCAGGTAAGAAAACAAAACCTTTTACCAGATTCAGAACTTGCCCCCATATGATAATAGTCCTCGCTTGTTCTGTTTAGCTGATGGATCAATTCCTAATAATGCAGATTACAAGGATCCGTTCCTCAAGAAGGCAAGCCACATGTTGGGCGCTATCCCCTCTCCGCCTGCATTTGCTTCTGAGTTCCCAACAAAGGATGCAGCTATCAGGCTACATGCAGCACAATCATCTGGTTCGGTTCATGTAACCGCAGGTCTGATCACAATATCAGACAGCTACATGGGCTGGTCATACCGCAAAAACGGGAATTTTGACTTAATCTTTTCTTTCGGGTTGGTCCAAGAGAATGGGATTGAGAAATCAGGAAATAGTTTAACAAGGGCAATGTTAATGTCCATGTGTTTCTGGTTCCTCGTACTTTCAGTTAGTTTCAAAGTAAGCACTTTGGTCTCTTCCCGGTGAGAAGTACCACTTTTAAAAAACAAGACCTTTGTATTTCTACACATAGGTTTAAATGCAGTGTTCCGCTGCTCAATGTTTTATTCTCTAATTCTATCCAATATATCATTTATATCACAATGCAAGATATATATAGTATACCTTTATAGTCTATGTTTTGGGGTTGTAATCCGATTCATGATGTGGATTTTTCCCCGCTATTATTGTTTTGTATATTATTTTCTCTTACAAACCAGCAAAAGATTTTCATATGTTGATCATCAGTTCTATATTTTTGCCTACTTAGTAATGTAAAAACAATAATAGCGGGGAAAAAAATGTTCACATCATGAATCGGAGCAATAAAGTCACTAGTTTTAATCTCCGCACACTAGGTTTCTCTTTTCTCAATAAATTCACAATTCACCAAGAACAATAACAGCTTTTCATTGCAGCTAACCATGTGAGAATGAATTTAAACCGCTAAAATAACATTGATTTCAGAAGGTTATAGAATATGGTTGCCATAGTTGTAAAACGGTGCAGTTAATACTATTGAACGATCATTTTTACATATTCATTCAGTTCAAATATTCACTTCACTCACTAAGAAGTGATCCTAGATATTTTTAACACATGTTTACATCTCTATATGATGTAACATTCAATCTATCTTACCTAAAAAATTTTCTTCTACAATGTTGTCAAATAACAATTTTTAACAATAATACAACTATTACCTCAAGAGAAAGCATACTACTGTATTTTCCTTTCAGAATATTTTTTGAAAATCTTGTTTTATTTAATAAAGAATTTATGAAGATCTCAAAAATTAGCCTTTTATTCATGTGAATATTATATTGTAACACATGGATATTACAATTTATAAATATAGAATCACCATATAAACACATTGGATATTACAATTATACATATAAAATTGACATACATATATCATATATGGTATTCGCTTCATAAATTAAATCTTTGGGTGTTTAAAAAAAATATTGATGACTGATTGATGATTTTGGCAATTTTTTCCTTCATAATTATCTAATATAATTATTAAATTATAAATGAGTCTAATATGACCAATGGGCACCTTGTCTCTCTTCAGCCTTCTCTCTTAAGAGGACTCCCTCTCTTGTGCCATATATAAACTGCCGATTCTCTTCTTCTTCAATCTCTTTCCGGATTTTTTTCTTCCTTAAATTTCGCAAGTTCATCGATTTGTTTTTAATTGCTAGTTTTTGTTTCTGCCCTTTTCGTTTCGCCATTGACGAAGTACTCGAAAAGGTATGTCTCGATAATTTGATAATCGTTTTCCGGTTAATTTCACAATTGATCCCGATTGTTTCGTAAATTTTCATCGGAATAATCCATATTTCTTTTCTCTTCTCTCAGCCTCAGGAAAGTGGAATTGGGGGATTTTCTGGCTGATAATTGAGTTTATTATGAATATCGGGTGAGATCAATTATAGGACAATTGGGTGCGGAATTTTGAATTGTTTGGGTCGAGATTTTGTGCTATCGTGATTTTTTTTTCTCCCGGAGAGCTCCTTGTGATTGGGTAATTGTGGTTTAGATTCTTAGTGTGATGAAGCTCTTGTGTGTCTTTTGTTAATTGGATTCGAAAAACAAAAAGAAAAGGGAATTGTGAGGGAACTGGGGGTTTCTTGAAGGTGTGAGGATGACTGATATTGATCCTCTTCAACAAAAGACGGAGTCTATGGATGCTGAGTTTGATCGAGGTTTTGAGGATTTCATGGACGATTGCATCTCATTTGAGTCGTGCAGCTCGGTTCACAACCCAGACAATGATGATCAAGAGGATGAACATCTTTTGAGGAGGAGAAGGAGGTCTGTGCTCGAAGGGGATGATATAGCTGAATCCTCTGCTGCGAGAAGGAGGCAGTCACGGATTCTTGGCCGTTGGGCTGCAAGGCAGGCTCAGGAGATGATTACCACCATTGAAAGGAGGAACCGCGAGTCCGAGCTTATTGCGATTGCTGGTTTGCACGCCGTCTCTACGCTCGACTCGTCTTTCCTTAGGGAGTCACAGTCTCCCTCTTCCAGGCGTCAGGCCGCTGCTACTGAGAGGCCTAGGACTCAAGCATCTGGGATTTTGCAGATGTGGAGAGACTTGGAAGATGAACATGTACTGAACAGGGCACGTGAGAGGATGAGACTGAGGCATAGAAATGCTGATTTGCCGGGCTCTAATGCGTCTGAGAGTCAGGTGAGTGAAAACAATGAGAGCCTGAGGGGTTCGAGTGAGAGTGAGAATGATTATGGGTCGTCTAGTAGAGAACAGTCTCCAGATCTTGGCGATGTTGAGAGTGAGAGGGTGAGACAAATTGCGCGTGGATGGACGGATAGTGGAATCAATAATCATTCATCTAATGCAAGACAGAGAGACGATAGTCGTAGAGGAGAATGGCTTGGTGATACTGAAAGAGAAAGAGTCAGAATTATCAGGGAATGGATGCAAATGACAAGTCAGCAGAGAGGAGCTCGTGCTAGTCGAAGAGAAGATCAACAATCTCTTAGTTCACAAGATGACAGGATTCATGAAAGTCCACAAGTTCAGAGGGTTCGTGAAGGGTTAGCCGTTGAGAATGAGGAAGGGCGAAGGGAGCATACTCGTAGAGATTTGCGGAGACTACGAGGAAGGCAAGCATTAGTTGATTTGCTAATGAGGACTGGAAGAGAGCGACAGCGGGAGCTCCAAGGTTTGTTGGAGCATCGTGCGGTCTCTGATTTTGCTCATCGTAACCGGATTCAGGTTTGCTTTTAGGAAATCATCTGGTCATCTTCCGTTTATTTTCACAAACGTTGATTGCATACTTATAAACAGGTTCTTTAGTTCCACATCGGTATAAGGGAAACAAACTAATGTCTTATAAGACCGAAATGCATGCTTTGGACCCAATTTCTATCATGTGGACTGCACATAGTACAATATATTAGCTGTAAAATTTAGAGTGCGCTAGAGTTTTCCTGTATGGTATGCTGGTTATGTTGCCAAAATTCTCGTTGCCCTTTAGTGGTGTTTGTACCCCTGATTGATAGAACCAAAGATGTGAGAAGGAATTTAAAGGTGTATTGTGCGCTAAGACTGGGCTACTAACCCCATAGATTAACGTAAATGATAGAACCTTAGGTCCTTGTAACCTGATACCTAACATTTGTACACTTTGCCACAGTCGCTTCTTAGAGGAAGATTCTTGCGGAACGAGACACCTGCAGTCGAAGTGAGAGCTCGTTCATCAATGGCAGCAAGTGAACTTCGCCAGCTAAGAGAAAGACATACAGTTTCTGGTTTGCGGTAAATATTTTTTTGTTCATTCCCGGTGAATGGTTAAAAATTTACCCATACTTGTCACATGCTCAGAATTGTGAAGTGTGGATATATTATATCCTTGCATCTCATTTACCTTCCCCCACTCATTAAACATATGCAGTTATGGTTGACTTTTAGCTTTCTTTCTGCTGACATAACTTTTTTGACATTTTGCTTGCCTCTAATTTCTCAATATTGATATTGATTGTCACAGGGAAGGAGTCCGTGACAGGCTAGAAAGCAACACTCATGGCGATAGCATCAATACTTCTAGGAATAACCAAAGGACTACTAATTCTGCTGAGGATTCTCAGCGGCTAACTGAGAGTTTTAATTCTTCTAGGCAGGAGAATGGTACCCCCCTCTTACCTATCGACTTGGGCAGGTCGGGAAGAAACCGGGAAAATGCAGATAGAAATTGGGAAGAAGATACCAGTCAAGAACGAGTTTGGCCTGAAGCTTTTACTACAGACGAGAGGCAAAATTCGCAGCAAGCAACATTAAGCCAGTTCAGTGAAAGGGCTAATGGTAGCACAGGTCATAACGGGCAAGAAAACTCAGTCAATGACCTGCACCACGATGGAATTGGGAATTCAGATGAAACTATAATAGTAGAAGCTCAGAGTGTAGGGCCTGCAGATAGCTCTAGACAATCTGATGGTAATTGGCCTGAGACACGGTTTGGGGCTCCAAGAAATCGTCGTGTAGTACCAATGAGAAGATTAAACAGGCTCCATCTACCTGATGACGATAATGTATACAGCATTGAACTTCGAGAGCTACTAAGCAGGTACAGAGATAGTGGATTCGTTTTGTCTATTTTCCCAGCATATATTTTGTTTGTTTAATGAAATTATTTTCCTTTCACACTTGTAGGAGAAGTGTTTCAAACCTCTTACGCAGTGGTTTTCGTGAAAATCTGGACCAACTGATACAGTCATATGTTGAGGAGGAGAGAGGGCTTGCTCACGTGACTGGGATTTGCAACAACAGACAGATCTCAGACATCGTACAGAGACAGGTTTTCTACAGGACGA